GAAGGGTAAAAACTTTCCTGTTATGAACATTGGGCATTATGTATGACTGGAAAGGTTTGAAGGTATCTTTAATGTTGTGGAATGTGAACAAGGATAACCCTTATTTAACACAAGGATTGTGGGTATATTTAGTACAGGGCCATGGGGCTGGTTTACTACTATATTTGCATAAAGTATAATGTATTATACACTTTCCTGAGTTGTGTGAAAATACAGTAGTATTTTATCCTTTGTACAGATTACCCTGTAGCACCATTATTGGCCTGTATCCAGCTTGTTCATATCCTGTAATATCCATGTCCATAACTTTAGATTAGGTTGGTGTTCATTATTCAAATTCTTGATGAATCCCGAGAAAGTGCTGCATATTTCGGCACAAAGCAATCACATTAACGTGATATATCGATAAGAAGATCAGTAGGAGCCATGAGGAGGAATTGAACCTATGCTCTGGGTACTCTTGAAGCACACGCCTTGGACCACTACACCACGACATGGTGAAATCAATGCAACTTGGGCTGCCATCCTCATGGCTCATACTCATTGATACATCATGTTAATGTGACTTCTTTGTTAATTTGAAGAGGAGTGTAGGAGATAGAATTCTTAGACTACAACCCAGAGTGCAATGTGTGAAACCCTGCTTAGGCTTCAGTGTAATCCTTAGGCACCCTACAGAATTCATTTGAATCCCAGGTTGCATTGCTTTTGACCATGTCGTGGTGTAGTGATCTAAGGCGTTTGCTACAAGAGTACCCAGAGCATAGGTTCAAATTCACTTCATGGCTACTGATTTTCTTGCTGGATTTTTGTACATGGTCCCTTGTACCACCATGCACAGAACTTTTTGGAATATGGAAGTGACTCTGTGCTCTTTGGATACAGGTCAATTAGGTTGTGCATTATTTTGATGCAGGCATTCTGGCACCACTGTATATTTCAGTATGCTTACATCTTTAACACATCCTCTATTTTTATGGGTCTTTTTAAAATGGTAATTTTGTTGTCTTTTCAGATAAATAATGCTGTAAATTAGGTGTATCATTGAAAATGGTCTTATAAAATACTCCCCAAGGTAATTTGGGGTCGGGAAGGTTCTTGACCTTCCTGAACCCAATAATATTATTGGGGCCAGATATTAAATTTAAATAAATACAGAATTAAAATATTATAATTATAATATTAACTATAAATATGGTCAATTATTAAACAAAGTTTAATTGAAATATTTTCCTTTAATGAGTTTTTATTGTAAATTTATGTAATTTATAATTATATTTGGAACTGAACTTTGATGCTATTTGTTGACCAATATCAGTGCTTTTAATTACTGAAGTAGGCCACTAACTCATATCAGTAGTGTTATTTTGTTCACTGTTGATCAACCCAGTGTTCAGAAGAGATTTCTTAGGAGCAGTTAAAGAATTGTTTGAACAATTAACCTTTAACCTAATGTAAGAATTGTTAATAAGTTGTTAATACAGGGCCATGGAACACAGTACTGATTTTGTACAGGTTGTTGGATTAGGGCCAGTGACAACACAGGATCTTAGGTACCCAGTTTTTTCCATGTGCTGGGAACACACACTAAGCCCCGAGGCTATATGTTGCCTGTTGGCAGAAAACAAAACTGCTGCACCTTTTGGCAGATAAACACACTATATCGCAGATGTTTGGCGACACCCTTACATTACCCTGAGAGGCGAATGCCAGAATCAACTGAAAAACTCAGTTGATACCCAGTGACCCCAGATGATTGTCAGGCATCCTGTAACGTTGATTAGCCAAACAAAAGCCAAAGCCAAACAGTTAATACTTTTGCTGCCAGATGCTGCATATTGCGGCATAAAACCAAAATACGAAGTATGCCCGATGATGCAAATAGGCGTAAATAATTTTAAAAACATTATAGAAATTCTATTTGAATACTATGGGACTTGTTTTAAAATGTGCGCCAGTTTCTGCCCATTCTCTGTATACCTCATGTGGCATCCTGATCCTACCATGCGGGTGCCCACCCACACTGGAGGCTCGCTGTTCTGGTGACCTCGCTCGAGATAGCCGCGGCCTTCCCTCGAGTCTAAATGTTTCCCCATTCTGGTTATTTTATCATGGATATTTGTTGTTACTGGCTTTATAAACACTGCAAATTGACTTCCAGATAGATACTGATAAAGAACAGAGCCATTCCACAATGAAAACATTGAAAGAAACGCGTATGAGGAAAAAGTATAGAAACGTGAGACTTGTATGTTCTTATATGCAAATATCCCTTTGCAGCATGCTATTATGAACAATTTGATACCAAATTGAACGATATAGCACTAAAATTTAGGGCAGAAAGCTGAAAAGAGAATAAACATTGGAGTGGTGAGCTCTCAGGCAATACTCGGGCTACCTTTGCAGTGGGTCTAAAGTATAGGAAAGAGACTTTGTTATTATATGCAAATATCTGATAAATTTATATGCAAATTTGATAAAAATGAACATTCATTCTATCAATGTGATACCAAATTGAAAGACAAAGCACGAAAATTGAGGTCAGAAAGCTGAAGAGCACGTATAAACATTTTTGCATGGTGGTGAGCTCTTAGCTTATATGGGAGCCGGTCGGCCGAGCGGACAGCACGCTGGACTTGTGATCCTGTGGTCCTGGGTTCGATACCAGGCACCGGCGAGAAATAATGGGCAGAGTTTCTTTCACCCTATTCCCCTGTTACCTAGCAGTAAAATAGGTACCTGGGTGTTAGTCAGCTGTCACGGGCTGCTTCCTGGGGGTGGAGGCCTGGTCGAGGACCGGGCCGCGGGGACACTAAAAAAAGCCCCGAAATCATCTCAAGATAACCTCAAGATATACCTTGCAGTGCACGGCAGGTCTTAAGTATGGTATAGGAAAGTGAGACGTACATGTTCTTACATGCACATATTCCTTTAAAGCATTCTATTGCGAACAGTTTGATACCAAATTGAACAACGTAGCATGAAAATTGAGGTGAGAAAGCTAAAAAGAGTATAACCATTTGTGGGTGGTGGCGAATTCACGCGCACCGCTTGGCCTACTTTGCCCGGTTTGGTGCCTTCTTTTGATAATTACTTACTTACTTGGCCTACTTTGAGGTGCGAGGCGGGTTGCGCGTTGGGCCATCGAAAGGGTTAAATCTCAAAAAAACAAAACTAATACTGTATTTAATACCACACCACACCACTGAGGGCACACCACACCCCTTGCTCACCATACCCAGAGAGCATGGCACGAGTCCATCAAGATGCACCAACTCCTGGCACCTCTAGCCCAAGTCAGTTCCGAACATCAGCTCTCCACCCATAGAACCAATTAGAAAACAGGAACAAAAAAATCTATCAACTTCCTTGTGACAGCCAATAAGGGTACCAGGCATTCAAAGATAGGAGGTTGAAGTGGAATGCCAAGCAGCAGAAGACCCAAAAGGGCAATGCAGTAATTGCATTCTATTTACTGGCACTCTCCAGATGGAGCAGCAGGTGACCAGCCGTCTGCTTGTTGTCAAGGTTGAACGAGGAGTCATTTGGTATAGGTCGTGACCTGTTTTGGCTGCATAATTTTTTCTTATCTTTTCTAGTAGCTTGGTAACCAATGACCCAGTTAGCCTCAAGGGGGTCATTGGAAGATTTATTATTTCCAAGAGCTTCATTGTCCGAGTCGAGTCCAAAATGATTGGAGCAGTATCATGACTTGCCCCACCCCTATTTTCACTTCTCTTCCTCACCTTTTAGTTTGTGGGTTGGTGAAGGAGGGGTTTGGCTAAGTTTGGGCTATCACTTTTAAGTTAGTTCTGGTTAGAAAAGAGAGAACAATTTTATGTAAATGTTTGCACCATGGTACTGGATATATATATTGGCACCTTTCAAATTACATTGGTTGTCTCATGATGCACAACTGTACTTACATGCTGCACTTTTTTATTAATGAAATATAATTATTCTCAGAAAATGCACTGTACAGTATAGTTTTAGCCTTTTGGAATAGAAAAAATTGAAATATTTTTATCAACTTTAATTTTTTTATGATGCATGTGTATTTAAAGCTCACTTGCTTTGTTTTGGCTTGTAAGGGTGTAAAGGGTTAACTGTGGAAAGAATGATGAAATTCATACAAGAAAAAGGGAAATGTGATGTTTTTTTGAACTTAAGATACTCATTATGCCGCATAATCCAAATACAGTACAGGAATTGTCAAAGAAATTAGGAATTGTTATGAATTGTTTGCCTATTGTTACATCCGTAGACCTTCCAAGGTTACCCTCTTTCCACCCCCTTCATTATAATTACTTGGCTGTATGTCAATACTGAGTACTTTTGTTTCTTGCCAGAAATATAAATTATTGTCTAGTACTGTACTGTACAAAGTAGTTGTACATTCACCATTGATGTAGATGAGAGGAAACCTTACTTTCCATGTTTTCATGGGAAGTGCTTTGGGACTCAGAATACAATGACAAAGTTTAAAATAAAAGTTAATTTGGGAGGTGTCTTAATGCAAAAATATACTGTTATCCAAAAAGTTTGTAAAACATAAAAATCCTGCTCCAACTTGAGAGGCATCATTTTGTGAAAAATTATCTGGTTGCACCATGTAAAATTCTCACTGAGTTTGCACTGCACAGTGGCTTACTATTCAGTTAACTCCTAATATTTGTGAGGTCACATATTTTTGGTCAGTTTTGTAACCAAACATTAATATTTGCTTGGTGTGTGCGGTTGTGGAGTCGGAACCAAAAGGTCTCTGGTTCGATTCCTGTGGCAAATGGAAGTGTATGGGCCCTTTTCCTTTCACCTAATTCCACTCTTTGCCTAGCAGTAAATAGGTACATACCTAGAAGCAAGGCAAATGTTGTTGGAAGCATCGTAGGGAAGGTTGGCCCAGGAAGGCCTTGATAAGCTTGACAGACTTTGTCAATTGTCAATGATAATGAGGGAACAGAAGCCAGGGTACTGTACTCTCATTTCATAATTCTTTTGTATTATTTCAAAGTAAGATACTGTATGTCTGATACAGGGTTTCCTGTTGATAATTACACGTTAATTCCAAGGATCAACGTGCCCTGTCTCTGAGGATTCCTTCGTTGATTAGCTGCGGCTACAAAAAATGTAAGACCAAAAAGTATTGTAATATACATGTAAAATTGTCATCAATATTGTATAATTCTTGATAGCATAGACATGCACTGTACAGGCCCAGTTTTTGTGTAGGTCAGAGTGTGGTGGTTGAGTGCGAGATGTTGGAACTAAGGCAGCATGTTTGAAGCCACTTTTGTCCTGTGTTTCTTGTATAATAAGTGTTTTAAGTGTCATTTAAGTGAATTGAGATAACAGTACAGTATAGTTCATTTATCAATGAGGCCCAGTGTGTTATCTTTAGCTCCTCCACATTATCTACGATGTTTACACCTTCAGCAGTCAGTGTTGGGGTCACTGATCAGAGTTACTGGTGTATCATAGCAGCCCCCTTGAATAGTGACTTAATTACTTCAGCACTCAGATTCAAAAATTAGTTTCTTTACAAGTTTTTACTTATCCAGTACTGTAAATGCAGTATTACATGGTATTAGTGCTGTTATTTTATTTTCTAATGTCATAATTACATATTGCTATATATAGTGTAAATAAATAAAAAAAAACACCGCTATACAGCAATTGTTCTTTCTTTTTCTTCAGTGTTTCAGTATGTTATAGCAGGAAAAATGTCTGTTGTAATAGACTTCGATTACATAGAGAGCATTATTCATTCTCAACTGAATGGCATGTATTCTGTAAGTATGAACAAATATTTTGTGATCATATTCCTTTTATTACCTGTTGCATGGAATTGACATTTGATGTGTTCATGTGTTTGATCTCTTGACATGTCATGATTTTTCTTGCAGATATTAATTATGAAGACTTTGCTAAATAGAATAATGAAATTTCTCGTAATTTTGCAGTGCTGTTCTCACCTAGTTGTACTTGCCTAGTTGTGCTTGCAGGGGTTGAGCTTTGGCTCTGGTTCTGCCTCTCAGCTGTCAATCAACTGGTGTACAGATTCTGGAACCTATTGGGTTCTATCAAATCTACATTGGAAACTGTATATGGAGTCTGCCTCCACCACATTTCTAATGTTTCTGGCTCATTTGAGTACTAAATATCCTCCTGTGTCCCCTTGTTCGTGTTCCACCCATTTTAAATAGTTTGTCTTCGTCCACCTTGTCAATTCCCGAGAATTTTGTAGGTGGTGATAATGTCTTCCCTTACTCTTGTCTTCCAAGGATGTGAGGTTTAGCTCCCATAGCCTTTCCTCATAGCTCATACCTCTTAGTTCTGGGACTAGTCTGGTGGCATACCTCTGAATCTTCTCTAACTTGGCCTTGTGTTTAACTAGGTATGAACTCCAGGACTTAAATGCTGTGCATTTAACTTTCAGTTAAATGCTGTGCATTTAAATAAAAGTTAAGGACCCCCAAATTCTAACAGTTTTGAATATTTTGGGCTATCTACAGTTCCATAGAGGTTTCAATATAATTGCAACAAAAACTGTCAAATTATTCAATATTGAATGTGATGACTGGTGTGTATTAATCCTTATGTGTCGAACGTCTAGTGCAATGCAATCATCAAAGGAAGATGTATGTTTTGAGTCGGTTTATACTAATGTTGCCAATGTGGTTCGAATAGCTCAATTGTTTCCTAGCAGATATGGGAGGCTACAAAATAATTTGGAATCAAGACTTCAGTTCTTTGTCGATGGTTCCCCATCGACAAAGGACGATGAACGGACCTACCTAGGCCATAATAACAATCATCATTTTATGCATATATTTTTTTATTTTTATTTCTGTATACTACTGATACTGTACTTTTTAATATATTTCATGTGGTTTGCCTTTTGGTTTACCATAATTGGGCATAGGAAACCTGTTGAAACTTACTGAAGTTCCATTAGGCCAACTACTGACTTTCCCAAGATACAACTTGCAGTAGTTGCCTAGCTCCAGAGTACCCATTTACTGTTAGGCAAACTGAAAGATCAGGTGAAAGGAAATATCAACTAAATGATTTTGTTTTGCTATTGGAATCGAACCCGGCACCTTTCGGCTCTGGTCCAAACTCGTTGACTACTGAATAATTTTTTTTTTTTATTTGATCCTAGTTCCCATTACAAATTACTTATGGCATTTGTATGGCTGTGCTTGCCTTCCCTTCCCTTGTAAGGTAGGAGCAATGCCTGAAGTAGAAGGAATACAAAGGATATGTACTACAATCAGACGTGGTAAAACCTTTAAATTACTAGTGATACCTGAACCCTGAGAATGTTCTGGAAGAGACTTTTGAGAGAGAGATTGCATAATGTGTACTGTATTTGGAAGGGAAGGGAACTATTGGAAGTGCCAAGCCATTATGACTATACTGTACATACAGTATATTTCTTGGAAGATATCAGGAAAAGGATTTGGGGTGGGGATGAGAGGAAGGAATGATGTCCAACCACTTGGACGGTCGGGGATTGAACATTGACCTACATGAAGAGACCGTTGCTCTACCGCCCAGCCCAAGTGGTTGGAAATTACTTAAGAGGCAAGGGGAATTATGACAATGAATTATATGTGCCCTTGCAGTTAACTTTCATTGAGTGCAAGTAAAATTAGGGTGAAACCTTGGGTTATAGTAATAAAACAAGACAAGAGGCTGCAAAGGGGAAAGATAGGGTGAAGAGTTGCAAACTGTATGTACCATCAAGAAGACTAAGAAAGAGGGGGGGGGGTTGAAGAGTGGAAAGAAAGAATGAAAATTGATATTGGCCACAGACTATGCTACCTGTACCTACACAATAATAATTCATTGGAGTGAATGATAGGATAAGTGTAGAATCCAGTGAAGAGCCGAGGTGCTATATGCAAATATAAGAAATATTGCCAGAACAAAGGTTGAAATTTTCATTAGGGAATTAGACAGGCTCAAAACAAATAGGGTACTGTTAAAGTAGAAGTTGGTGTTAGGTGTGAAATTGGAAGGGTGTGTGTGGGGGGGAGGGGAAGAGGGTGTTTGAGAGATGAATTCTTTGGAACGTTGTGTTTCAGCTTGCTTAATGTTTGTTACTCCTGTTTTGATGGCTAGATGTACAGTATAGTCAAACACTTCAGAATTTGTAAACTTCTATGCACCTGCAGGAATTTGGATTTTCAATCAGAATGAATACAGTACAGAACCATTTTTTGTAATCAGATTAAGATTATTTCTACAAAAAAATGTTATATCACCCAATTACAGTATGTCTTATCATTTGAATGTCTGTCTTTCCCATTTCTTATGAGCTCTTAATTAGGTGGGGTATGTATATTCTTTATCTGTTTAAAATTATGATTGGTTATAACCATAGGCTGAAGAATACATTTGTTTAGCTTGCATCTTGTTACTGAATTTTATATTTAACCTTAGCTTAAAATGTGTCTAGAAGACATGATTTGTGCTGGTACTGTATAGGTTTATGTAAACATTTTTCGTGTATGTATACTATATAGTACAGTAATTGTCTAATTTATGAAGCCCAGTAAATTTGTCGCATTTACTGGGAAAGAAGTACAGTACCTGTATAGCTGATAAGTATACAAGATGGGTGAATATGCTTATTATTTTTTATTTAATAATAAGATGTCAACTTGCATTGTATGGTCTAATGTGGTGGCAATTTAAACCAATCCCAGCATGGCTTACTTGATCTTTCAGTGATTGAAACCAATCCCAGCATGGCTTACTTGATCTTTCAGTGATTGAAACCAATTCCAGCATGGCTCACCTGATTTGGTAGTGAACGTAACCAATCCTAGCATGGCTCACCTGAGTTGGCAGTGATTGAAACCAATCCTAGTATTGATCATCTAAACTGGTGGTGGTGATTTAATTAAACCATTCCCGCCATGAATTGCCTGATGATTTTGTCCATCGTCTTGATAATTTTGGAGTATGGTAAAGGGACTTGGACTACTGCAGGTTGTGATGAATTTTAATTTTAAATTTTTTTTTCCCCTGCGTGTGTGCTCGTGTGGTGTTAGGGGGGGTGTCTACCATGCATGCCTTCTTGTTTGTTCTACCTGGTATGCTAACATTTCTTATTCACTAGTTTGTTTGTTTAATTATTGAGTGTTAACTGATGATATTATTATATCGGTTAACATATTATGGTATCAGTTTCATCAGATCGGATATCTAATATAATATTATGTAATATTATGTCGGTTTCTGAATTGTGCAGAAATTTTGTATTTGGAAAAAAAAAAAGATTCCTCTATTATATTATCTTTAATTGTGTAAAAGACATTGTGGTAATAAATTAGTTTTCTACCATTTTATAATTATAGAATATTCTATTACAAATTTGAAAAAAGAAATTCGTGTTTAAATTAGTCTCTTATTAGGAGAATTTTCTAAATAAATCACTAAATTGCTGCTATTTTTCTCCCCAGACAAGACTAGATCTTCCTGAAAACAATCACATAATAACCATGGGAGAAACTTCCACACAAAAACGCTTTGTAAGAAAGGGAGGTAAACAGGCGAATGGCTCTAGTATGATAAGTTCACCTCCGACTTTAGAAGAGAAGTTGGCAGAGAAGGAAGAGAGAGAAAACATAGTACTATGGAGACAACCCATAAAAACTCTTCATTACTTCTTCAGGGAATGTGGAATTCTGTCTGTGGAATACATGATAAAGTGAGTGGGCTTGGCTGGCTGTGTCAACTCGTTTATTGGACTTTTTTTTTTTTTTTTCTTGACTAATATTGTTATTAATATTTCTCAAGTTGCTACTTAGTATAAATTTGCTTACAGTATTTTGTTTACTTGTGCCAAGTAGCCTTTTCTCTCAAAATTATGATTGTTAGTGTCATGTAATGAATCCAGATTTTGTTGAAAAATATGCAGCTTTGCAAACATTAGTTAGTCCAATATAGACTTGCCTACTTAGTTGTGATTGTCCATAGTCGAGAGGGTTGCAGTGTCCATCTAAGATGTGTTGCGTGTGTTCACAGTAAATCGGTAAAGCTTTTGTTACACAGTCATTGTACATTTCATCAGTGCTTTCCCTTTGATCAGCGAAGTACCAAGTTTAAGAGGTGCTGCAATATACATTGTAAAATTTACTTTTCAGACTGTGGAACAATAAGAAGATTGTGTTATTAATAGCTATGCTTATAGGAGGTTATTATGCAGCTTACAAGACACCAGGCCCTCACCAACCGGTAAGTATTCATACTGACTGTGTGTGTAATTACCTTACCTAAGTGTCGTTACAGGATGAGAGCTATACTTCTCATCCTGTAACCAGTATTCATTATCATATAATGTACAACCAGTCTAGTCTTCCCAGTTCTGTCGTATAATGCTTTGAAAATACCGACAGTTAGCCTCCAACTTTCTCATTTAACTTTTTCCAACTGTAAAACTCTGTTTGCAAAAGGAAACTTTCTAATATATTGTTTGGCACCTTTTGTTTCCTTAGTTTCAATCTGTCCTCTTGTTCCTGAAGTTGCTGGTTTCAGGAATTATTATTATTTTTTTTCCCCCCCAATTTGGTCGATTCTTTTTATTATTTTCAAGAGGTGATCATATAACCTCTTTTTTCCATTTTCTAGCTTTGGCATATTTAATGTCTCTAACCTCTCCTCATAACCCTCATTTTTCAGTTCCAGAAGCCATTTTGTAGCATGCCTTTGAGTCTTTTTCCAGTTTATTGATGTGCTTCTTGAGATATGGGCAGCATACAACTGCTGCATATTCCAATGTTGGTCTCACAAAAGTCATGATCAGTTTAAGTATTTTGCCATCCATGTAAATAAAAGAGTACCATTTCACAGGCTTCCCGATCCCTATCGCCTTGTAGGAAATAGAATTATTCTTATTCGTTCCTACTCTCATTTAGACAATTTGCTTCATCATGGTTTAGTTTCAGCTTCTCTCTCCCTTCCTTTGAAAAGTCTTATCTTAATGGCCATAATTTAACATCCTCATCATTTTGCAGTCTCTTGGCATTCCTAAGTACAAATGAGGATGAATTTTGTTTAATATGTAATATATCTTGTGTATTACTACCAAGTAGTTTATCAAGGAACTTCACGTGTCTGTAACATGTATAATAGGGCTGTATTTGATATGGCTTATACAGTATTACATTTAAGTTAGTGATTGCTTCTAAAGTGCATGCTCATGTAAGATTACATGTTTTGTATACAGGGTCTGGTACTAATGTATGTTTCTATTTTCAGCTATTGCAGAGAATAGCTAAAGAGTTTTGGTGGTGTTCATGGTGGATATGGCTAGGGATATTGTCATCAGTTGGTCTTGGGACAGGCCTCCACACATTTCTACTTTATCTAGGACCTCATATAGCTTCAGTCACATTGGCTGCTTATTCCTGCAATTCTGTTGAGTTTCCATGTCCACCGTATCCCGATGAGTAAGTATTGTTCAATGATTTGTTAAAGTAATTTCTATTCTTAGACTTTTGTATATGAACTATGACATAGGTGGATGGTAATTAAAAACAAGTGAAGCTGTTGATAAAAGCTCTAATTTCAGTTATGTAATAGGATTAATTTCACAATGTTAAATAAGGTTTTCACCAAGTGAATAGATTACCTTTAAATTCTGCAATATGAGAGCCACTAGCACTCCAAATTAATGACTTGGTCACTAGTTTAAAATATATTCATCTGTTTAAACAACCATAATTATGGTATGGTATAGTGATCAATATTAAATCGTGAATTCAAATGTGGTCACTTTGAATGTATGGTAGAGCAGCTCATACCAGTGTTGTGTTGCTCGAGGTCTGACTTCTCGTTTACCGAAGGAGGGTGGGTAATGTAGGAGGCAGTGTGGCTACAGTAATGACAATGGAAAGTATTAAGTTATGCAGTAAGTAAACAGTGATGAACTGTACAGATATATTAAAGAGTTTCAAAACCTTTCGAATTAAGGTACTCCTGGTAGGTGTACCCTTGGGTATGGTTTCTGTGTAATATTTTGGGTACCTCTACATTTTGACTTTAAACACAGTTATATATAATTGTAATTGGATAGTGTCACATTATAATTGCCATTTTTAGAACCAATTTAATTCTTTGTGGGAAAGTGGTGTGGTGGTTTGGTGGATGGGGTGGCGGCATGACCTTGACCAATATCACAACAATAAGCATAATTGCACCAGGACCTTGACACCCATACTACTGCCTAGGCTGGATCCAAGCATTATGGTGTACTGTATTTCCTTTACCAGGCAGTTGGTGCTGGAACCATTTTAGACAATATTCTACATCTTGAGAACTGTTTAATGGAATCTTATCCAGGCTGGTGTGTGGATATCATATTTGTCATTGTATAGTGTAATTACCTAGGTGTAGTTACAGGATGAGAGCTATACTCATGGTGTCCCATCTTCCCAGCACACTGTCATATAACACTTTGACATTACTGATAGTTTTGGCCTCCCACCACCACTTTGCCTAACTTGTTCCAACCATCTACCACTCTATTTACACTGTTTATTGTCTCTGTAAACTATCATGATTGAAGCCCCACTCGTGTCCATTTTTATAACTTGCCCTGACTTGGTATTTAAAGGCTTTATAATTTATCCTTGTTGGTACATATTTATAATGTTAAATTTCATTGTTCCAGTATACTGTAGTATTATTGTTTGCTAATAATAGTAGTACAGTAGTAGTAATAATGATGATGAGAAAATCCACTAGGGCTATAGGTGGGCGTGAATCTACAACCACAGCATTGCCAAGCCACATACTCTACTACCATTAGACCACCGCAGACTTGTAAACTCATAAAACCGGATTTCTACTGAAATCGCAGGAAGTCTGGAGGCTCTACTGAAGCCAATCCAAGTTTTTACATATGACCCACAAGCACTCGGGTGGAAGGGCATGCTACGTTGTTCATTTTGGTATCAAATTGTTTGCAATCGAAAGGCACTCATTTTAGAACTAGTCCCATAAGAAAACAATTTTTTTTTTTTTAAATATTTTAATTTTGGACACAACATGCGTCCCCCCACCGGACATCCGTAGTTATCTATGAACGCATTTTCCGTTCCCCCTCCTGCCGAAAGTGTTAATCCTGAATTTTTCGCCAGAATACAACCTGCCGAATCTTTTAACAACCAGGTACCTATTCACTAGAGGGTGAGCAGAGGCTATAGTTAGGGATTGGCACCTGGTCAATGCTCCTCAGCCAGGATACGAAACCAGGCCAAAGTGCTCGAAGTGCTGTTTTCTTTTAGGGACGTGAGTCTTATTTTCCTCGGCGTCGCCCCTTTTATATAGGAACCATCGGAAATGCATCAGAGGTGCTGTGTGGCCCGTCGTCTCCTCGTTGATGGAGAGAGGCGATCAGTGTTTTTGTTCAGCCTTCCCATGACATGGAAGAAAGTTGCTCTGTTCCCATGCACACAGACATATCGATAACTGACTCGACGTGCAGTCGTAGGCTGGCGAAGTGATCGCACGGAGATCGGAAGGAATCATTGTGAGACAATACAGAGGCGCTGCTTTGAAGGCCTCTCAAGCCACACGACATCCGTGATTATGGGCGCTCTCGCCTAATGCTACGTATGTCTAGCAGAATGCAAGTTTGCCTTGCACACTGAACCCGAGATGCCGCAGTGTGTGCAGTGTTGGTTCTTAGTTTGCATCGAGTATCTTTATCATGTATTTCGCTTTGCTTTGATGTCCAAAGGGTTTGGAGAGGATGGAGGAGGTTGAGGGATGGAGAGGTTAGATTCTGAACGAGGATGTGGGTATAAAGAGAGGAGGAGGTTTAAAAGTTAGTATCCAACCATCTCATCGATGATCGACCACCACCCTGGCCATCCATCGATGGAATGGTCGGCCAAGGTGGTGGTCTCTGGTTGGTCCCAATATCCAATATGGTGCCATATGATCCACCAACAATGTGGTTATATATTTCAAGAGTTATTATGAAGATGCAATTAGAATGATTAGGGAAGTGATTTTCTGAATTTTTGAGATAGAACGATGGTTTTTAGCATCAATAGCTCAGTTACTAAAATTATCACAGATGTTTCTAAAATGAGTCATTGAACTGCTAAATGTTAAGATACAAGGCTTGATACAAGGCTGTATGAAGGCCTAGTTAGTGATATTATGCTCACTCATTGTAATGGCGTAATATAAACTGACGATGCTCTGCAATCTTACTACTGGCATGTGGTATGAAAATACCTTGAGCATTGGGTGGAACCATTTCTTCATGGAATAGTAACATGGCCTTGGATGAAAGTAAAATATTTATTATAGCATTAGAGTGATGTAATATTTTAATACCTTTCTATATGTTATCCTTTGTTATCCCAGGAACACTCCTAGTGGGGTGGCCATATTCATTTAGCCTACTTTTATCTTTCCATGATGTTAGTTGTTTACCCCTTGCTTTAACACACACTACTTCACACTTGCATATTTCCCATGCAAAAATCTATCATCTGTCATTGCCTCCAAATATTCACTTACGGTAGTTTTTTATTTTTCCCAATATACTGCCCCCTCATTTACATCGGACCCAATTCGCAATTCCACATCTTCTATGCACTTCTCTCTTACTTGTCCTTGCCTGTATAGTTTTAGCATGAGCTCTTCTTAAATACTCAGTACAGGTATTGGGTAGGTTATTTCAAAATTGTGATTTTTAGACACTAGTCATTCTATGTGGAAGTGAGAGTATGAAGGAGAGTATACTGTTGGAATACATCCTTCTTCACATCTGCAGTAGTGTTAACCCCCATTATAATACTGCCTAGGAATCAAAAATTTTCTCCTGTGCTCCTTTCCTTAATTTTTCTTCCATTGGTTGATGGACATGAACAACTGACAAAAATTGAAGAAACAATAATAATTCAGACTTTCATTTATACAAGATTGTGCTCGGTTATTGTTCTTTTTCTCGCTTAATTGTCAGCAGTTCTTGTCTCTATTTTGTTATGCACTTGGGACTTGACACGATACCTTTATGCAGAAGACAATCAAAGTTAATTTCGACTTCTGCAATTAAAAGGTTGTTCAGGATTGGGGTTTTCTTCATATTTTCCTTCCATTGTTCTAATTAAAGAACACGTCAACATCAGAGGTCCAAGACTCGCCAGCCTTCTACCAGCAAAGTTAAGAAATATTGCTGGAAGAAAGGTAGTGATCTTCAAGAGGGAACTTGGCAATCAGCTGGGTTGAAGTAGCAATAGCCTGGCTGTTCATGCAGTCAAAGGTAAACAATATTTGCACAGTACTGCTCCCAAATGTTTAAATTCCCTGACCTCTTCCAAAACTTCATCTCCATTCACCCTAAAGCAGAAAACATACTTTCCTTTCAACACGTACTACATCACTTTAACTCTGTTACCTCCTTAAGAAACAAGTTAATGATTCTGTATTGATAACAAAAAGATAAAGAAGATTGGTCAGCAAATACAATGTTTCATCATCCAGATTCGGCTTGGCTTCCCTTTTCCCACACTTTCATAAATCTGATGGGTCCATCCATATATCTATAATATTTATTTGCTAGAATAATCACAAAAAAATGTGATTCAGTAATGCTTAGATATCCACAAGGAATGAGAAATTACAAAATCTGAGTTGTTTATTAACATTTTCATTTTCAAACACATTTGTTTATTAATATAGTACAAACATTAAAAATGTTTTAATGATCACAATGTACTCTGAATTTTTCTTGGCGCATATATTTATAGAGTATTTATTGTAATTGAAACGTACAGTATTTATGACCATGTATTGCTCATAACACTTAACCTTAAAACTTTTTCTCAACCTGTCATTCACTTTGTTTAATACAGTATTTCATTTTGTGGACATTAAAACTAATAACTCGGCAAAATAAATTTTTAGCTTTCCATTCAGATTTACTTCATTCACCTTTTCTAAATCTCTGAATGTCACATTATTGCCTCTACCTTTTCCTAAACCTTCTTTCTTCTTTCTCTCTTGATCTACTTTATTTCTTCAATCTTAAATTGTGGCTTCTTGAGATCCTTGAGGTTATCTCGATGATTTGGGGCTTGGCATCCTCACGGCCCAGTCCTCGGCCCGCCTCCTTTTTGTTACACACCCCCAGGAAGCAGCCCGTAGCAGCTGTCAAACTCCCAGGTGCCTATTTACTGCTAGGTAACGGGCATCAGGGTGAAAAAAACATTTTGCCCTTTTGTCTCCACCTCCACCGGGGATCGAACCCGGAACCTCAGGACTATGAATCCGAAACGCTGTCCCACTCGGCTGTCAGGCGCCCAACTGACATATAGCATACATGTCTTTGCCATATACTTTGGCATAGTAGTCCTGTGGTCTACTTTGCCATATGCCATCCATGTCTCCAATACACAAATTAGCACATCTTTTAATGCAACCTATTTGC